GGCCCGCCTCGCCTCACATCGCATCGCAGTATCATATCTTATCGTATCGTATCGTATCATATTGTATCGTATCGTATCGTGTGAAACAATGGATTTGCCTCAGGTCATTATTCACCAGGGGAAATATCATTAATAACTGCAGCAAACGGTACCTGCTGCTTCTACACAAACGTTTTGTCAGCCCATCCCAGGCAAATCCATTGTTTCGCATCACCTGATTAGCTCATTTTCCGTGAGCTCAGACCCACCTTGGAACGTCCCAAGCTGGGCCTCAGCAGCCGCAAGCTCAGACCCCCAACGTTGTTGACCAGTTTGGCCCCAGCCAAGACCTTAAGTCAGGGGTAAAAAAAAAATCTTTTTTTTTTCAACCACCCGCGCACATTGCAGGGATTTTCCCCTGAAGCAAGTTTCCCACTCGATTGTGTGAAGGACCTCCTGCAGGCAGACAGGCAGGCAGGCAGGCAGGCAGGCAGGCAGGCAGGTACCTCGAAAACCGGGCCCCGGTGTATACCGGCACTAAAGTGAAAATACTGCACTGCACACTGGTGGGGGTTTAAACCACCAGTACCTACCGGGTTCTTAGTTTCCGTCTGACGGGAATGAATACAGACCCACGTGGTAGGCCGATTCATCTGTCACGTTAAACCACCAGTACACGGCCTCAGCCTTGCAGCAAAATAACTTGTCGCCACAAGAAGTAAAAGGCGGGCTCGGGGCAGGGTCGGAGCGTCAGAAGGTTTTCGAATTTTTGGGCCCATCTCAAATCCGTACGTCCCACAAAAAAAAAAAAAAAATCCTTTGGCCGTGATTGCAGTTGGATACACTTTTTGGAGTACTCGTGCGAGTTTGCCCTCAGTGAGGGCACTTCAGCAGAACGTAGAACACAGGGAACAGGACTGCCGGACTCTCTTGAAAAAAGAACACACAAAAAAAAAGCCTTTGGCCGTGATTGCAGTTGGATACACTTTTTGGCGTACTCGTGCGAGTTTGCCCTCGGTGAGGGCACTTCAGCAGAACGTAGAACACGGGGAGCAGGACTGTCGGACTCTCAAAAAAAAAAACAAAAAAAAAGCCAACAACACTTTGGCCGTGAAAGCGGTTGGATGCATTTCAACGTCTCTAGTGTGAGTATGCCCTCAGGGAGGGCGTTTTGAGCAAGAGGAATATGCGCTGCCTTGCTGGCAGGGCCAGGAAGAGAAAAACAAAACCAGAAAAAAATGAAAAACAGCAACGTTTCCCTCTCCCCGCAATAGTGGTCAGATGCATTCAGGAAAGTGATCACTTGCGTATGGCCTCCATGACGTCCTTTCACGACATCATTGCTCTCTGGCATGTTTGTTCCTTTCTTTTCTTTTCTTTTCTTTTTCAGTTCAGGCAGACCTGCGGCACCAGTGCCACTTCCGATATTCCCACTGCAGGTACCCTCACGCAGAAGGCTCGGAAAATAGTGGCGCGCAGTGGGCAGGTAGGTTCGGGATTTTAGGTGCGGGTGGTACTGGTGGGGGCTTAAGCCTCCGCACCTGAGCAACTCACATAACTTTTTCACAACTTTGTTCCTTACACAGATTTGGAGCAAACATTAAAAAAAAAAAAAAAAAAAAAAAAAAAAAAAAAAAAAAGATTTGTAGCAAACATATCGTCAAAAAGGGGGAGGATCCTCCCCATCTTTGACCGGGCTTTTCACAAACCTTACACACACACACACACACACACACACACACACACACACACAGAAATTGTTCACTATATTATAACAAGACATGGAGTCATAGTACGCACTTACCCATGGACTCTCCACTGACAAAGTCGTTCCGTACAAGCCAGCCAAGGGCGGTCCCCACCACCACTACATTGTTGCCCGCAGCAACGGATGTGATGTATCCATGCCCACGATCTGCATTCGCCTCAAGAAGATCGACAGAAAACATGCCATCCATTGGGGGGGATGACCCCACAACGGTTTGATCACCCTTCCCCTCGATCATCATACCGGTAGAGGGAAAAAAGATTCACAGATTGAACAAAGAAAACGAGCACTCCCTCCTCTTCCCTGCAGCACCCAGACAACGAGAAAAGCAGCCAGGCATAGCCAACATGTCACAGGAGTCAGATTGCCAACACAATGTTTTTGGACTGGACAGCTCCTAAACCCAAATCAACATTACGTGGTTTCTTCAGCCATTGTTCGTTATTGTTGTTGTTGTCGTCGTCGTCATCATCATCATCATCATCATCATCATCACACATCATCATCATAATCATCATTATCATCATCATCACACACCATCATCATAATCATCATTATCATCATCATCACACATCATTTTCATCATCATCATCATCATCATCATCAAGAAGCAATCAAGCAAGCAAGCAAACCGGAAAATGTCATGGGGTTCTAACCCCATCCCTGTGCAGCGTTGATACCCCAACCCTCTTTGGCAGTGATCTGTGCGCCAAAACAGGTATTGCACACGATAAATGCGTAATGTGTGTTCTT